AAGAGAAGAGAAGAGTAGAGAAGTGAAATGAAGAGAAGAGAAGAGAAGTGAAGAGAAGAGAATAATAGAAAACCTTGCAATTATTTAATAAACTATTACCTGATTCCAAGACTTTGTCTTTTCAGAAACCAGATTTCAATCATCTTGAGTCTCACATTCTAGATTCTAGATATGTAATAACAATAACAGTCTTAGACAAGTGAAAAGTGAACAATCAAGAAGGCACCCCCCTAAGGCGAAAACCCTTACCACATGACGATCCACTGTCCATCTCCTTTGTTCTTATAAGTAATTACCTTGAACACAAATTCTTCGAAGAAATTGGAAAAACAAAATTATATTTTAACTAGACTAACAGGCGTATTCTATTATAACACGTGTCAATGATTCCTTTATTCCGTGAAGTGCTAGCTATTTAATCTTTCAGCGCTGTGTTATAAACTCACGGAACAGCTTTTTGCAAATTAATTCAAAACTCCAAGGAGTATCTTACTTATGTCTATGTTTAACATTTTCTTGCGTTTGCTTTGGTAGCACTAAAAGATAGCGATCTATACATTTTAAGATATGGGCATTGCATGGAAGTCAGTTATTATTAGGCTTGTTTTTCAAAGGTCGAACATGCTGAATTGATTACGCCTCTAGTGTGCTGTATATGATATCAGTAAACAGATGGGATATCAGTTAATTAGTCTAATAGTTACTATAGAAACCAACTAGGTTAAAAACCAGATATATTACGTTGTCATATGTTGTTATTCATTGGCAGCGCTTTAAGTCAATAATGACGTTAGGATATCATTTCACTTGTTATACTCGAGCGCCTTACTTCACTCATGCTTCACTTCACTGATCAACTCAGTCGTTCACTGTGCATACRGATTCTCTAGTAACTTCACTTCTATGTGCATTTCATCAGAACGTACTTAAAAAATGTTCAATTCGGCATTAACTGTGAGGTCGTGAAATCGCGTGTTTCTTCGCCCGGCCGCAAGGTTTGAACCCTTATTAACTCTGAAATAACATCTTAGGTCATTTGTAGGCACGCAACTCTTCAATGGCTCAGTTCTTTGTTTGTTTCAAAATATGATAGCAATTCTTCGACAAGGATTCTCTTTCGAGTAGAATGATTAAAGAAAACACCGTGTCGCGATCGACTGGAATCCAGTCTTCGACATTTTAATCCTAAGTGTATAATCTAAACACTGTAAGTAGTACATATCCGATTGTTCTCTGATATGCCAAAATAGGTTATTGGTATTTTGHGGTGGTTTAAAAGCTTAGCGGTATCAAAATAAATGTATGTTTTGAATCTTTCATAATACGATGAAACCATTCACCATTACGACCTTTTCTGTTTATATTGACAGACTGAGACTGCGCAGTCACGTGATAAACTATTAAGTCAAACGGACCATTGGTTGGCTGGACTTAGAAAGAAAAGTTCTCAACTTAGACCAGCTTGTTTATATTGCGGAAGACTCCAGCTCTACGATGAATAACACTACAGTTGAAGCTTCACAACCTTACTGTGTAATATGGGATTCCCAAGCTGCCCGCATTGGCGCTGTGGTATTGTATGTCATTATATTTATCTTGTCCGTGGTTGGAAACGTTCTGGTTGTCATCGTTGTTTATCGAAATAAATCGCTCAGAAACTCGACAAATTACTTTATCGTTAACATGGCAGTCTCAGATTTATTAGTCCCGGTTCTGATTATTTCCCGAAAAGTCAAGGAAATACTCACTCAGTCTCAGGCATGGGACATATCTGGTATTCCAGGAGAGGTTCTTTGTAAAGTGTTTTATTTTCTAGCTGATGTTTCGCCGGCCGTTTCCATTCTCAGTCTTATTTGTATCTCATTTAATCGTTTTTGCGCTGTTATGTTTCCACTACGCCACAAGAGGACTTGCCACGTTCCAAGATGTGCCACAATAGCCTTGACTTGGCTCATCAGCTTCGCTGCGCTGGCTCCAAACTTATATGCTTACAAACTAGTAAGTCGCAATGAACATCAGTTCTGTCAAATCAAATGGGAACCAGCATTTGATCACGCCCAAGCCCAGAAAGCGTACACTACGTTCATCGTCGTCGCCTTTATATTCATTCCAATGATCGTACTAAGCTTTATCTACATCAATATTTGTGCTTTCATAATCAGACAGAAAGTCATTGGAAACAGATCTGAGCGGGAACATGCTATAAGGGATCGCAAAACTCGATCCGTAGTGCGACTTGCCATCACTATTGTCCTTGCGACTACCATATGCTGGGCACCTTACGGTGTCATTCTACTGCTTTATTCCTTCAAATACAACTGGCAGTTTCCCCGTGGATGCAATTGGATGCTATACTATCAGTTTGCGCAGATATCTGGGGTATCGAACGCGGCTATCAACCCCGCTATTTATTTTATTTATGTCCAAAACTACAAAAAGGAACTGAAAAGAATAGTTACCTATGTTACAAGTCGATTTGTGCCGACGTTTTCGCATGCTGGGCTTCTGACAGCGCAGCCTCAGAAGATGGAGATGGAACAACTGTAACATGGTTTGGAACAATATCGCAGCTCATATAATCCATATCTAACAGACTGGATTCAAAGAAGCGTGGAATTTTTGCAATCGCTACATAATGTAAAATAAAACTTCAAAAACCCAGGGTAAAGTAAGGCACAAAAAGCAAGAGAACTCGAACCGGAACAAAGTACTAAGTCAATGTGTGTTTTCTTTACAGAAACACCACAGAATAAAAGACAAGACTAATATGCTAATTACCGGATGAAACACTCGAACTACGAAAAGTGGAGCGTCAATGTTTTTTTACAAATCTCGTAACGCTTGCAAGCCGATGACATCTTGAAGTAATACGCGTTGTATAATCTAATCGAAGCTTTTGAAAATCTAAAAATTTACATTTAGGATAAAACGTATTGAAGCAGCTCTTGACTTCATAAGAACTTTGACGCAAGATTTTTTGGAATAACTCACAATCTGAAAATTCTAAGTGAAGTCTAATTAATGAGGGGGTTTGGTGTGAAATACTACGGATTTAAAGGAGTATTTTATTTCTCCAGCAGCAAAAGTCACGCTACGAGCTCAGTAGAAGTTGAATTTCAGTCGCTATGACAGCGATAGCGGTAATACGGATTTTCGTTAATGACCTGTAAAAACCATTATTATTTTTTAACCAATTTTAACGACTTGGAAAGTAATGAAAAAGGCCCACRATGGCCTATCAAAATCTTTGCTGATAAGATACCAAATGGTTTTTCTCAATGACGATAATTTTTTTTGGTGTTGATTTTTAGGTGAAGAAAGTTCGAGAAAGTCGAGCAACTAGTGTGTGTTGGTAATAATCTAATTATGTAACTAAGGCTTAAAGGCAGATTTATACCATACACATATCAATTATAGAATTCTTACTAATAGTTTAATGTAACCACGGCTTTGAAAAAAGGTTTTTTTCCCCTTTTTTTCAGTGATTGATTGCAATCTACCTTTAGCTCTTCTGCAGATCTCAGAAAATCCCCATAACATGAATTTATGATAATGTAAAATCTTTTGTCCTACTTCAAAAATCCTTGAAAAGATTAAGAGCTTCCAAAGCAGCAATTCTTGGTACTGCTGGAGTATTTCCAAATCCTGGTGATTTCARACATGGCTGTCATGGTTGAATTCGTACGTGTAAACAGCCAACGTTTCTTGGTTTTTGCAAATTCTGAGCACATATTAATATCCCTTAAGTGAATAATGTTTTGTTTAGAACCATATTCTATATATAGCGATGAGACATGAGTTTTTTCCGATTGTTCAATTTGAAACCCCCACAAATTGAAACCCAACACACTTCAAATTCGAATTCAATCTGTGAGAAAGCCGTGACTTAGATTAGCCTAGGGCTGTAGTTAAAATTCAGGGTTCGATAAAACATGTCCGTTAAGATAAAGGGATTTTGAATTTGCATTTATTAAACCAATGCCGTTTCTGGTGTTCAACGGAATAAATAGTAAAGTAAGCAAAAAATAACAAAAATATCAATAACGCACGATGCTTTTAAGAAAACGACAACCAACATATTTATCACGTATTGGAAAGTATTTATAGGCATTCAAGTTGGGTAGTCAAGCAACTTCAAGTATTGAGGAGGAAAATAATTCAAATGTTGCTTTTAGTAAAAGTAATTAATAAGATAAATAAAATAATTTAAATTATAGGATATAGACATGTAAACATGAAACTCCTGGAGAGCGTTGTGATAAATAAATTGGTTTTAAAGTTTTAAAGCTTGTCATGTTTGTCAATATATCTGGATGGGGCGATTTGCTTGACTTGGTGATTTTAGTTTAGTTTAAGAGTAGGCGAGAGAACAAAGCTTTGAGTAGGCGTGATAGATYGCAGTTCATCTATTATTTAGGTTACGCGTAGGTAGATTTTCAAGTGATGAACACGACAACTATGCATCAGTCGTCGAGAAATTTTCGACAGCTCTAGCAATTGTTTGCCTCGAAGTACCGTGTGTGTTTAGTTCCTTTTGAAGGTTGAACTCGATATTTAGGAAGTGGTTATGTAAAATTTCAGCAAAATTTCTGTATAGATGTTATACGTTACGTTATTACAAAGCTGTGCAGAAAGAAAGAAAG